GTGTGTGTGTGTGTGTGTGTGTGTGTGTGTGTGTGTGTGTGTGTGTGAGTGAGAGTGTGTGAGAGAATTTTCACGAGACGCCCTGCAGGCAGCGGTAGTCGGATGGGAAAGTCTGAGCAGCAAAAAGTCAATGAGTAACTGTCTCCCCTCCTTCAACAGCAGCAAATAACCGTTGAGAGCGACCTCGAGCAAGTCGCTGCACCTCAGATGCTCCCCTGGTTTCAGAAGCTGTTTTAATGCCGACCGGCTCTCACTTGATGTCTGAATAGGGAGCTGACGCTGTAAAACAACATGCGTACTCCTGGAGCTTCGTTGTTAGTCACAGGGGCTCGGCTAACAATTCACATTTTCCACAAGTGTAAAAAAACTAATCCTAATCCCCCGTCCTATTTTTAGGGTGGGACAAGCACTCGTACGGCTACCACGGAGACGACGGCCACTCCTTCTGCTCCTCCGGGACCGGCCAACCGTACGGCCCGACGTTCACCACGGGGGACGTGATCGGCTGCTGTGTCAACCTCATCAACAACACTTGCTTTTACACCAAAAATGGCATCAGTTTAGGTGGGCGAACATGTCGCGCATACATAGACATGAATCAATTTTAGAACTGTGTCACACGTACATTAACGTTATGTTTGTTACTGCTTCATCGAGAGCTTGAAATCGTCACGTATACCTAACTGTAACCCTTTGTCCCTCAGGTGTAGCCTTCACAGACCTCCCTGTAAGTATCATTGTATGTGCGTCACAAAATTGCAGCACCATTTTCACGATGGCAAAATGTACAGTGTTACAATGTTTTCTGCACATTATGCTAATCATATGATACTGAATGTGTGATCCTTATCATACCATAACTGTAACTTTAGTGATAATGATAACATATCGCTGGATATTGTACACGTAGGACCACATCTAATTGCAGCTTGTGTTGGCAGTTGGTTTGGAAACTAACCTTTTTTTTTTGTGTGTCCAGTGGCCGCAGTAACTGGAACATTCCCCTGAAAAAGAAAAATTGAAAACCCCAAACATCCACTTTAACAGTTTTACCAGCCGAATCGTTTTTAAGAATAGAATAGAACAGGAACTGAAAATCACAGTTGGCTGCTGGCCACGGTTACTGCGAGAGCAGATTGAGTTACTGACCACTGTCCAACCTAACCAGCGCTCAAACGGGTGCTGGTGTCGTTTTCATGCCCCGTTAGTGGTTTTTGTCCAGCTGAACCATGTAATCTAATGATAGCCAAGTAAAAAGACGGAACACTGTGTCGTTAGCCGGAACTTTACAAGCTGTGAACTGAGGCTTTCCATAACCAAAGCTGTTAAGAACTTATAAGGCTTATTTGCGTTTCTTGTATAATTTAAACAACAAGATGTTTATAAAATATATGTCATAAAAAAGGCAGCATTGGACCACTTGACCTGTTTGGTGTCCCAGTACGATAAGCTAATAAACTAATAACTATTACGCAACTTATAACTTTCTCAAGATTACTTGACTTGATACTTAATTGGTCTAACACACACACATTTGTATGTAAAAAAATAAATGCTCAAAACAACCCTAACCCTATTTCATCTGTACCATCTACCAGCCCAACCTGTACCCCACCGTGGGGCTGCAAACTCCGGGAGAGATCGTAGACGCTAACTTTGGCCAGCAGCCGTTTGTCTTCGACATCGAGGACTACATGAGCGAGTGGCGGGCCAAGATCCACGGCATGATCGCCCGCTTCCCCATAGGAGAGAGGCTGGGGGAGTGGCAGGCTGTCCTGCAGAAGTAAGCTTCGGTTGCCACATCTCAGTACACACACACACACACACACCTGTCACTATGAGAACACGCTGTTTTGAGTGACGCCACAGAAATATAGCTGTGCCTGAAAGCTATAAAGATGACGGCATGTAGCAGCTGTGCCAGAGAGCTCCACTGCTGTCAAAGAAGCTATTAAAACGCCATCACTGTTGCGCTGGGTGACGTATCCCCTTATTACACATGAAGATTGGCACTGTCATTTATTTTTGATTAAATCCCACATACACCGTCCTGCTGCTGTAAATACTCATTAGATCACCAAAATGCAGATAAATCCACTGCTGAAAATAGTCCGCAACAAAGGCACCATTTACTATTGTGTGAGTAAGGTTAGCTAGAAACTACAGTGCCCAGCTGTTTTAGGACATTTTCAAGCATGTTTTAATGAAGAAACCATATATTTGTGAGCTTTATTTATTTATTTTTTTGAAAGATTTATGTTGTCAGTAGGAACCAGTGGGCTTGGGGCCGAGAGCCACAGACTGTATCGGGGAGTCAGAAAGCGTTAGAGACGGACTAACACACTGTTGAATATACGACATGAATATAGAATATCCCCAGACTTCTCCTTTTTAAGAAATTCAACCTTTTTAAACAATTTATTTTTACGTGCTGTCTCCAGTATGGTGTCTAGTTACCTGGTGCATCATGGGTACTGTGCCACCGCAACAGCCTTTGCCAGAGCCACAGAGACCCTGATACAAGAGGACCAGACATCTATAAAGAACAGACAGAGTGAGTGAACAAACCAACCACACGCATATTATTTCACATTTTCATTTCACCGTCATACATAAGGTACTAAGTCACTTAACGGCACCAAAGAATGTTCCGGGCTTGGTGTTGTTGAGGTCTTCCTCCTAAACCATTTACGGTGTAGCTGCCTGTTTTTACAACAGAATACTTCCAGCAAACCTTTAAATAATAATACCATAATATTCCTCTCGGATTTTACATATGACAACATTTTTAAGTATCTCATCATTTTGAAACAAACGGCGCCCAGAATTAGATACTATGGGTGTTGTTTGTACTCTATCAAATGTTTCCTGTGTAAGCGTCGGTTCCTCTTGATCAATATGCTGTAAATAGCACCCTGTTTCTTTGGTCCAATAGGAATACAGAAGCTGGTGCTGGCAGGACGGGTGGGCGAAGCCATAGAGGCTACTCAACAGCTCTACCCCGGCCTGTTGGAACACAACCCCAACCTACTATTCATGTTGAAGTAAGTCAGTGTTTCTAAGGACTAAGATCGAATGCAGGGCAGAGATGCTGTGTGAGGAAGTAAAGCCGAGCGTTGATGTTTGCCTTCGCTAACGCTGCTCTGGATGGGAAATTTGCTCGACAAGAAAAATGTGGTGCCTCTCGCTTAAGAATGCCAGTATAACATGAGCGTGCCTCTTGGTTATTAAGGTGTCGTCAGTTCGTGGAAATGGTGAACGGTACAGACAGCGAGGTTCGCTGCTTGTCCATCCGCTCACCCAAGTCCCAGGACAGTTACCCCGGCTCACCCAGCCTCAGCCCCCGCCACGGAGCCAGCAACACACACCTGCACGCCGGAGGTACACGCGCATCGCCTCTAAACCTCTGTCCTTTCTGAAAGACGCACATTTTTTTTTTTGGCAGAAATGAGATATGCGTCTGTGTTTTCCTGTCACCCGCCACACAGGAGCCGACAGCCCGACCTGCAGTAACGGAGTGACTCCCCCCAACAAGTCAAAGACCCACGGCGGCACTGGCGTCGGCGGCATCAAATACCCCAGCGGGTCCTCCTCCGCCTCCTCTTCCACCTCCTCCTCCCCGTCCTCCGTCAACTACTCCGAGTCCAACTCCTCCGACTCCACTAAGAGCCAGCCACACAGCGCTAACAGTACCCAGGAAACCAGGTAGGGGTTCCATTTAGAGCAGATAAACCCAGACTGTCTCTACCGCTGATACACAACAGGTGTGGAGTGCAAGGGATTCAGTAAGGACATCGAATGCAGCACATACCCGCAATTTATGGTTACAAATACATAGAGATCTAGGAGGTAATGCTGAAGTTACACTCAGTATGATCACAGTTGATCATAAAAGGTGCCACATGGGATAGTTTATCATCAATAAATGATTACGACAGTCATTTTAAGACATTAATTAGTAATCGGTGCAAGTAAACAAAAACATTGGCACCATCTATGATGGTGCACTACGTTTCACTTTCACTGGATTATTTATAGAAGGAAATCTTCTGTTTTGATCTCCTGTGTTGAGTGAGGGCATAATATTACTATGAGCGATGTGGTCCCACATGGACACACTGTTATTATCTGCCAAAGGTGTTTTTTAGCCCATTCAAGAGATTCCGGTCTGGAATCTGGTTTGTCCCCGGTCTTCTCGCTGATTTTAAATGGGCAGGGCTCAGTTGGAAAAAGGTGACATCTGATCTTTTCAGTGAGCCAATCGAGATTAAGCAACATCTGAGTCAGGATCTGGTGACGGGGGTGGGGTTATAGTGAGTCCACAACCCGGGAAGTACTGAGCCACCATCGCCCCTGGCCTATCCAAGCCAACTAGAGCCGGTCGCGGTAGAAATGCGGCCATAAAAGGCGGTGCCAGTGCCGGTGTGAGGTCCTCCCACACCGAACAGCTGTCCCTGACCCGTCGAGTGGGGGGGGGGGGGGGGGCGAAAGCGCACCGCTGTATAGGAAAGGGACGCGCTGGAATAATAACACAAGACAAAACCAGAGCATAATTGCGAAACGCGATGCGGCACGATGAACGTTTTAGCTCGATTATCTTGTTTTCATAGTTCGAAGCCAAAATCAAGTTAGAAAACAAAATTTGATGAATCACCCAGCTCTAGTTTTTGAGTGTTAAACTCTTAATGAATAATGAACTTAAACTTTGTTGCTTGTCCAGTCATGAATAATCAATGTAATCAAAATTTGTTTTCAGGGGCTTTAAAGTGTCATCTGTTTCTTAGCGATGACACCTGTAGGCGATGATGACATTTCGCCCTCTGACTTAATCGCCGAAACATGCAGATGCAGCTACTGTGCTACAGCTTCACTGTGTACAAGTCGGGCTAGATGAGTGGTTTAGATAAAACTGGCTGGGTGTCTTTTTAGTGCTTTGTTGCCTCAGTGGACTTCTGTTGTAAACACATCTCCAGGTCTCAGCAATGTAACTGAGGAACAAAGTTTTATCATAATTTATTGCTGCAGGAACCACAGAAGGTACAAGTTGTAAAAATCCTCAACATGGGCTTTGTCACCTCTGCTCAGTGTCGTCTTAAGTCATGTTTAGATTTCCAATCGTTGCCTTATCTGTCAAGTTTAAATTAACTGATGAGGCAACTTGGCCTTTTCTATGAACCGTCATCCTTTTGAGTTTAACGCTCCTGTGTGCCATCGTTTGTGTATTTTTTTGTGTGTGCGTAGTGACAGTGAGATGGAGATCGAAGCAGAGCACTATACCAACGGGGTTGTCGAGGGCTCCTCGGCGCGGATCATGAATGGCACATACAAACACGAAGAGATCCTTCAGCCTGATGACAACAGCATTGGCAATGGGGTGACAGGTAAACACACACACACAGATCTACACTGTGCATGTAGCCTATGAGCATCATCATCATGATGCTCAATATTGTCCCAATATTGTTTTTTTTCCTCTTTTGTTTCACCTATTCTTTCCTTCATTTGATTCATCTTTATGTGCTTTGTTGTGTACCCGGCATCTTGCTTTTTTTTTGTCGTTTTGTCTTCTTTAACTGTGTGTGTGTGTGTGTGTGTGTGTGTGTGTGTGTGTGTGTGTGTGT